ATTGCATTTTAGGATTACATTTTTTGACTGAAAATTATATTATTCTACATAAACTTCTGTCAAAATTAGACTCACAGCTAAAACAACGACTGCGCCTTTGAAAAAAACTAACTTCCCCTGCCTTATAAATTCAAAATATAAAAAAAGATTTTGAAGAAATATGTAGAATTCATATATGGCTTTAATGTTACGACTTTTCTCTAACTTTGGTTCCACTGTCAGAGGAAGCTCATCTCCATACCAGATATGTATTTAATATTATATACACTTGATCAGTCATTCGAACGGAAACGAATTACGAATGCCGCTCACAACGCAGATCGGAGAGGACGGATAAATAAAAGGGAAAAGCAACCAAATGGAGTTGAAAACGAAATGAGAAATTATGTATTATACGTTTGGCAGGCGATCAAAAGTCGTTATAATTCAAATCGCATCGTCGGAGGACCTTAGCAGGTAGAAATCGCTTCATAAATCGATTCCATATTCAACATAAGACTCGCATTCAATTCTTTTACCAAAAACGGGGTTTCCAATGAAGGAGAAGGAGAATCGGAAGAAGAAAAAGGAGTGGAGTTGAAGGGGCGTTGGCAAAGTCTTTAAGCCTGACTGTTTGTTGAGAATTTTAGAAGATAATATAGTATATATAGTATAATATTCATATTTAAATAATATAATTTTTGACTCTAATTTTCTATAATATTGATTATTTTAATAATTACAATGAGATAGTTTTGCTTAAGCTTTTATCCCAAAATTGAGCATTTTAAAGAGTTATTTTTGGGTTGTATTTAACATATTTGGGTGTGTTTGTTCCCGGCATTTGTTTTGTTGTTGTTTTTTTTTTTGGGCGGGGGCGTCGACTCCACACACAAATACACACACGCATGCAGAGACGGGTGAGGGAAGTTCAAGTTCAAATTTATTTTTATTATTTCATTCTGTTACTTTTCTCTCTCTCTCTACATATAGCTATCCCCCTTACTCTGCAGTACATGCGATAGAGAAAAAGAGAGGCTATGCTGCAGCGCCAAAGAGATACACACAGACATATGCACACACTGCAGTTGGGAAAATGCAATGCCAAATATGGTTATACGCAACAGTCAAAGCTCTCTTCTTTGGGGCTCTCTCTCTCTTTTTTAGTTTTATGTTATTTAAGCCGCTCTCTGTTCCCCCATTTAGCCCCAACTCGGTCCAACCTAGCCCCCTGTAGCTTCCAACAACACGCACGCATTGATTTATAATGCAAAGTGATCGATTGCCTTCATTTTATGGCTCACTGGAAAAACGGGAAGTGGAAATGGAAACGGGAAACGGGAGGTTAAAGGTGTGATTTATCTTTTTTATGGCTGGAAATACGATCACATAGGAAACTTCAGTCCTAGATGGGTTTATTACTCATCAAAAGTAAAGAGTTGTATTTTGATGTCCATTTTAATATTCTTAATTTTTATTTTAAATCAAAATGATGTTTAAAAATACATATATTTTAAAAATATATAAAGACTCATACATACATCTGTATGTAATGTCCACTATGTATTCACTTTTGGGGCATGTAAAAAGCTAAGCTCCGCCACTTGTTTTTGAGGTTCTCGAAAAAAAGTGAAAACCCATTTGGAGCTCACAGTTTTGTGTCTAAAAAAGGGCATGGAAATTCATCGGTCCAAAAAAGAGCATTGTAAAGCGACAAAAACTAACTCAGAGCGCAGAAGCTGTTCTATATGTACATACATATGTATGTATGTATGTATTTATGTATATGTATCTATGCTGGCAATGCACATTATGTACGCATCGATGTACACAGCTGATGCAGCGTATAGAAGTCTACATAAAAGGCCATCAAGTGATGTATCGAATTAAGAATTTACTGCAACTATAAGGGCTTGTCGACAAATAAGAAAGTAACCAAATATTTTATCTGAAATTAAAGCCAAGCTTAAAAAAATATCTTGAAAAAGAAACATCTTTATAATGTCTGGAAATTCCAAATCGAATACAAATGCTAAAGGGTATCTTTAACTGCTTATCTTAAACATGAAAGGGTTATCTTAATCTAAGAGATTATCTCAATTGGCGACTTGTTACAATGCGCAAATTTCAGCCGGCAATGTCAAAGTTCAAAAGGTTAACTCAGTCATTTACTGTTATGTGTGTGTCTTTGCATATCCCTATCATTATCATTATCATCAATTGCAGCTGTTTTCATTTTGCTCTCTCTCTCTCTCTGTCGGTCACCTTTCTTTCTCTCTCTTCTAGTGCATCTTTTGGAAACGGGCCTTGTGTGTGTGTGTGGGCAGATATGTAGGTGTGGTGTATTAGATTAGCAGTGCAACAATAACGGTGGTGGTTTTCGTAGAATTCGCCGCATTCAGGGGAAACTTACCCCTAAGTAAGAGGGATAGACAGAGAGAGAGAGAGAGAGAGATAAAGAAAGTGGTAGAACCAAAGAGAGATCTCTGGTGGAATAACGGTAAAACGCCTGCGCTGCTCTCGCCCACAGCACGTGCAAATATTCACATGCCTTCCTTTTTTATTTCGCCGGCCGCTCTCTCTCTCTCAGTCTCTGCAAATATACATATGTATGTGTGTATATAGTCTAAATATATAACCCTGCTTGACCCGACCTTCTGTAACTACCCATCATGAAGGTTAAAGAGCTTTAAGAAGCATTTCGAGCACATTCCTAGGACATATCTACAAAACGCTTTTATTTTGGATTTATAATCTGCAATAAAATATAATTTAATGCGATTGTTTTGGATCCCAAGTTAAGCAATCAGCTTATCTTACTTTTACTTTTTATCTTTCTTTGCTTGAATCTTGTTAGGAATTCAGAAATTTATTTATTAGATTATAACAGTAATTTGCATATAATAAGGATTAAATTATAGCACACTTTTTAGGGCAAATTATGTGGGCAATCTATATGAAGCATTATTAAAGCAATTATCCTGGCAAAGCAATCATTACCTTTCCTAATCTTAACTTGTTCACTTACAAATCATGTAAGTTACATGTTATCGAAGGTCGTATCAGAATATAATGAAACCTCGGGCCTAATTTGTCTTCAAAAACATTTCCACTGCACGCATTCTGTCTTCCTCTTTGCTTTTCCAATTTCATGTAATTCTCTTGTCGATTTTTCCATATCAGCAATGATCGTTCAAGGTTCTATTCGATTTTTACTTTTCTAGTTTTTTCCTATTTTTTTTTTCTATTTCTATTTGGCAGTCAATCAGCGGTGACATTTATGATCAATGGGCAAGTGGGTGGGGGTGTCTACATATATGTACACACATAGATAAGAAAACTGTAGTCTTGTCTATTGTCTTGTGATGATAAAAACTTTACAGATGCCAAATGAAATGTTCTCTTTATGTTCCAGGTTTTATAATATATTTCTAGTGCGCCATATATAGGGCGTATCTTATCCAAAATCACGCAACCTGCGTCACGATGCGATAATTATTATTTAACTGACGTAAAACTAAATGATTTTTTCAGTTACCTACATATTTAGTTTCTAGAACACAACTTGTATAATTCTTACAGAGAGTACTTTCCAAGAACCAAAACTATTTGGCAAACTCATGTGATTTGATCCATCGAAGTGGATTTTTGTATTTTCCCACCTCAAGTTCTATGACCAACAGTAAAAGTACCAAATCACCTCACCAGCTGTGCTATATAGTATTATAATATGGATGGTATAGTGGCTATAAAGTTGAGCTGTTGTTGTTGGGTCATAAGAAAGTGGAACCACAAGCAGAACGGGCTGTTAATCTAATCGGCGAGCGATTCTATGGCGCTTTATCAACGTCATGGCAACTGGGCTAACGGTAATGATAATGCTAACGATCTATTCCGTTCCGTTGCCTCGATAAGATTGCCATTGCGATTGCGTAATATGGCTTGGGATTTTTTTTTTGTTTTTTTTTTTTGGTGAAGTAAAGGAAATGAATTTAATAAAGTAATGATGATAAATATAGTTTTGATACGGCGGTCAAATTGGGGATTTCGATGGGGTTTTTATATATGCTTAGCCCTGAAATTATTGGTTTCATGTGATATCGATTTCGAATCGATCCTATCCACACTTTCCGCGTGAATAAATTCGAGATATACAACGATCGAAATTTTCGCAGTTCTATTACCTTTTTGTATGTCACTTGCCTTGCTTAGATAGCCAAATAAGGTCAAAAGAAAAAAACAGCCGAAGCAAACGTAAATGAGGGGAAAATGCAAACCAAAAACGAACTTGAAATTGCACATAAAAATGGAAGGAGGCGAGGTCATGGGCTTAAAAGTCAAATTTTTATATGGCGCAAGGTCAATTGATAGGCTTTTAGGATAGTGTACTAACATATTCCGCATTTTCCGTAATTATTTAAAATATTTAAACCTTAACAACCTGCTTATCAATAATGAAACTTATAATTAAATTAAAATATAACGAAAAGATTTTGAATTTGTTTAAATTTAAGAAACCGTTGCTTGTGCGCCATCTAGTGGAATTTATAGCGATTTGTTGCGTTGATCTGTCAGACTTCCCTATGGTTATATTTTTTATTTATAGTTACCTTAAAGCTATACTACAATAATCATAGTTAAATCACTTAAATATTGGCATCATTTTACTTGCATATAAATGGTTAATCTTTATATAAAAGCTACAAGAAAAGGCAAACAACACAGCGCCATCTAGCGTATTTCACTCAGTGCAGTCAACCTATGTTCCTCGATCTGGCAGCCTTTCTGAACATTCGATTGTATATTTCGATTATTCATTATTCAAATATTTGAAATGGAAAATTTTAAATTTATTTTTCACTTTTTTCTAATGATAAGATATGAGATGATTCGGATATGAGAGATAAATAAATAAATTAAAGAAAGGTTATTTAAGTTTGAAATCTCAATATTAAGCCACTTCCTCTTCCATAGGGAAGTGGTTTCCCTTGAAATACTTTCATTAAATTCAGCACAAAAAATCATTTTAATTTCATTTATTTCGAATATCGGTAAACTAGTTAAATATATTTATATATGAATGCACACACAATGTTTCTGTGAGCCAGTTTTCCTTCTACTTCACTCAATTCACGCGACCGCAAATTTAAAATTGATCAATAGAACCATTAAACTAAATTCAATAAGGATTAAAATCATGTAAATAACACGTGCCTAAACTATGGGATTAGTCCAAGGGTTAGAGGGGGTCACACATGTATCTATAATATATAATCTAAATATTTATTGTAAGTAGGGGTATAGAAGATTAAAAATATGGTTGGTCGATTAACCGATCTGTAGTAGCAAGTCCAAAATGAAATGGTAGAGCACACACACAATCGAGTTCGCTTTCATGAGACTCACAAAAGGATTTTATCTTGAATATTCTTGTTATCACAGACGCCCCAGAACAGTCCTTTTTCATCTGTCTTTATATACCACAGATCCCTTTGTCTTGTTTCTAATATTTTTGATAGACTTCTGGGGTTTACTTTTGGTGGTTTTAGGGGGTGTGTTTCAAATTTTCGACGCAAGTGTCACGCGTCACTTCATGAAAAATCAACTGCGAAATTTGGAAGAAACGAAGAATTTGCTCGCTTCCTTTTTCACGGAGATGCTGCTGTCTAGTCACTCCAGTTGCTTCAACATCAGATCTCCTCCATTTCCTCAAGTTCCTTACAGGTGTCTCTGAATGTTGTTTGCTAATATTGTGTAATGCCTAAGACGAATCAACTCCTTCTCCCTAAGGCTTGGCAGTCTGAGCCTGGCCAGCGGATACTCCACTGCCTGTGGCAGCTGTGGACTCAGTCTCCTCGCCGGCCATCGTCTTGTTGAGGATCTGATGAAAGTGCTCCCCGAAAACGGCATGATTGTAGGAGACAAGACGACGGAACGAGGCGATAAATGCAACCAGCTCCTCCTGGTAGTCCGCGAATCCGGCTGGCGGCGGCGGAATGCTTCCATTGGAGCGCAGTGTGACCCGCACATAGCCATCCAATCGTTTTGCTATAAAAGAGGGATTTGCATTAAAAAATGAAAAGCAATTGCTAGTAATTAAACGCACCCATCAAACTAAGAACTGGTGAAGCCTTGTTGGCTAGATTAAGCACCTGAGTCTTGAGTGCCGCCTGGTCAGCATCACTCATCGCCGGCGCTTTCTCTTGTTCCAGGGCTTTGTTAACAAAAGACCGAATTTGCTCATAGCAGCTTTCAATGGCAGTGGCTACTTGGCTGTAATTTAAAGTTAAATAATAGTTAAAACCCATGCGTAATTAGAGCTGTTTGCAAACTCACTCCTGGTTTTTCACATCCTGTACAATGACATCCAACTCCTGGGACAGTTTAATGCGATTCTCGCGGCGCTGCGATATGATAGGCGTGCTCTGAGCAATCGAGATGAGCGAAGCGCATAAGATCAATCGCTGTGCACGCCAACTCAAGCCCTCAAAACGGTCCTTGTCAATGCGCAACAGTTCCGGAAACTCCTTGTCAGCCGGATAATCAATCAGCTGCATGTAGGCATTGTAAATGGTCTCATCCTTATTGCTGCCAGAACGATGACGCTGAAGCCAATCCTCAGTTGCCGGAAAGCCAGCTGAAAATGCAAAATTTGCATGTTATTTACAATTTTTATATTGAGTCAAAACTAAAGACCCACCATTTCCATGGAACTCCTTCAAATACTTGCTAAACTTCTCCTTCTCATACTGCACCGAATTGGCGGCAATCTCGGCGCGGGCTAGTGCCAGCATAAAGTTGGCCATATCCAGCTTCATCAGAGTCATTACCTCAAGAATGCTACGGAACGTCTCCACCACATCGCCACAATCCCGCAGAGCCTCCACCGCTTCATCCCTGGCTGGAGAGCATGAGCGCGCTAGGATGTTGATAACAAAAGTGGCATACGCGCGAAAGTCAAGGGTTCCTTGCTCCGCCTGTTGGCGGATAACAGAGTCATCGAGCACCTCGTTAATATGGGTCAAGACCCGTTCTTGCATAGGCGACAACAACTGGGGAAATAACTCTCTTATCTCGGCCAACAGCCGAATGGCCTGGTCATAGGAAGGGGGCCGACGCTCCAGTTGTTCACGCAGTATATCCCAGAAAGCCTTGTGCACCATCTTCTTAATGGCACCCTCCAAACTGTTGGGATTTCGAAGAGGATCTTAAGTAGTAGAACTAAATTTGTTATCTGATTGCAATCTCACCTATCCGATGGCGGTTCATACTTCTGCAGCTTAAAGTCCGGATTGAGGGCTATCTCGTGGGCCAGTTCCATGTTCCGCAGGTTCTTAAACATGCTGGATACCTCGTCCAGGGTCACGATCTTCGGCGGAGTGCCATCCAGGCTGGGCAAAACGAAGCGCGTCATGCTCTCCACCGAACTTTCGCTATCAGTCCGCATTCTACGCTCATCCAGCTCACTCTGGCCAGCTGGTTGTCCACCTTGTTCACTCTTTTTGTCCTGGGCATCCATGTCAGTTAATTTCCAAGCTCTTTGTCTATTGATTTTCTACCGGAAATGCAATGCTAGGCAGCTGCAGCAACTGGTTTTGACCAAATGCGAATTTGGTTGCTACTGGTTAAAGCCAGTTATATTTGGATATACGGCTGTAAAGCTGTATATTGACAGTGGAAACTGCAGTTACGCTTTCTTTGTTCTTTGTTCGAGGTCGTCACAGAAGCTCCGCTCGGGGACAGTTCGCCTGTGAAAAAAGGGGGGTTCAAATACTGTGAATGTTGGATATAAGTTATTCTTCTATATTGGTTTTGTAGGAGTCCCATTGTTGATGATACATAGCACAGAGTTGAGAATTAATAAATCTTATAGATATGTTAGATGTCATTTCAAAATATAAAAAAGTATTTTTAAATATGTATTACACTTAGAAAATTCAACAAAATATGTAATAATATAGATTTAAACTTGTGAGTCATTACGAAAAACAAATGTTAAAAACAAAAACATCTTTGCCTATTAACTATAAATAATTTTCGTAAACGCACTTTGGAAATAATTGTTAGGCAATAGCCACTGTACAACCACAAATACACGGAAGAAAAACGTTAAACGTGACTCGCACACACACAGGCCAAACAAGTGTGTGCTTGTAAGTGAAGGTGTGTGTGGGACAAAGAAACAAAGAAAAAAAGTAAACAAATTCGAATGGAAATTGAAATGTAATACTTTCGAATATTCTCGAAAATTCTAGAATATGCAATTTGGCAAGCAGCGTGGCACAGATTCCAAAATTAAACGTGGAAAATGGGAGCAAATTGCACAACGGCCACGCAGCGAATGGGCGATATAAACAAACGGCGCAATAAAGCAGCAACGAAAACAGAAGCGATTAACTGTGTGTGTGTGTAGGTGTGCGTGTATGTATTTATTTCTTGTTGCTGTATTCCAATTGCGCAGCAATAGTCAGCTGGGGGAAAAGTGGAAAAATTGGGAAATGGACACAAGGACAAAGTGAGTGGAATGGGGGAAGTGTGTGTAAAACTAATTTCTTTGACTTACTTGGGGAATAAATGGAGCTCTAACCAACGAGAAGGTTCCAGAATATTTTTTGGAATATACCCACACAGCTGATTCACCTTTCTCACTCACTTACAAATTTTGTAGTTAATTTCCACTTAACTGTTTCCGTTCTTTAAGCCCCAAGGTTTTGTTTCATGCTGCAATTTATTACAAACTGAACTTTCACGAACGACGACCGATTTCTGAATGAATTTTCCGTCTCGAATTGAAAACTTTGTTTGTTGTGCCTGCTTTGTTTTTCCCTTTATCCATTCCCCTTTCCTTTCCACACAGCTGTTTTTATACGCTTATCGAAAGTTGATAGGCGATTGTCTCTATCGATAAGCTGTACGAAATGTGTAAAACTTAAAATAAATGTATCATATAAGTATATGACGTATATAATGTATAATAATAAATAAACACACTCCTTGACATAACTGCCATTTGAACACAATTCAATTGCTGTGTTAATAAGTCGATTATACTCGTAACCAGAAACGATAACGGTAGTCGCGCGCTAGTGTTGCGTAATGGCCGCTCGCAGTGGTGTTCACAATTGAAGCGCTTCACAACACGGCAACAGACACAAAAAATATTTTCGGTCAAAATTTTCTAATTAGAATTTGTGGTCTGCGTGTGCTTGCAGCGGCGGGATCAGAAGTTCCCGGGATTTGGGCCTCCATGCTGTAGGGTTCGTGGCATCACAAAAACCACTTGAAAGCCATGGAGAGCGAAAAGATTCTGATGGCCGCCGGAGTTACGGTGGCCGCCGTTGTGGGAGCCTTTGTTTTTTGGGGACCCTCAGGTGACTTAGTCTACGTAATAAAGTTGCGGTCATATCCCTAATAACCCTAACAATTCCAGGTTCCCGATTGCGCCAACGACGTGGTCAAATCGCCGGGCTGCATAACTTTGGACGCACTTGCTTTCTGAATACTCTGCTTCAGGCGATGGCCGCCTGTCCCCAGTTTATAGCATGGTTGCAATTGTACAATAATGCCTCGCCAGATCGAAAGAGTCTGATTACTTCTATGCTAAATACTCTGGAGGTGGTTAATGGCACTCATGCCACCTTGCGCGGTGATCCACATTCACCGGGCGCCGTTCTGCGGGCGCTAAATGCTCTGGGTTGGGTCATTCCCCAAGAGGAGCACGATGCCCATGAGTTGTTCCATGTGCTATTGTCATCACTGGAAGAGGAGGCTATACGCCCACAGCCCTTGGGCTGTCTGTCGGATGCATTGGCCACGGATAATGATGAAACGAGTAGCTTTGCGGGGACAGCAACTCCAGTTGGAGGCTTCCGGCCGATTAGCTCGATGGCAGCGGGTCTTGGAGCCAGCCAAAGGATTGGTGATCAACCGAACAGACCCTCGAGTGCCATGCTCACCGATTTCCTAAATATGGAGTACGATGAGAGCACCAGCTTGCAGCGATTAGTGCGTTCCGAAGCTCACACGCCGGACTCACCGGCCTCAGTTTGCGAACGCGAAGGTAACGATCGTCTGGGATCGTTGCTCCTGGACGCCGTTTCACCGGGGACACCTTTTGGTTTTCCCCTGGCCAGTGAGCTGGAGTCCCTGGCCACGCCAACGTTGGGTGGCGAACGCATGTCGCGACCGCGGCTTCCACAATCTCAGCAGGAGGAGGGCCTTAATCGACGGGTGTCCAGCTCGTGTCGATCGCTGGAGCGCTTGCACCGCGGACCCGGTCGGGTGTCTATCTGGTCAAACATGATGCCCAGCCAGGTGGCGCATCCGTTTCAAGGAGCCATGGGCGCACAGATCGTCTGCAATGGCTGCGGCTCGAAGTCGGCGGTGCGGTATGATAAATTTGATAGCATAACCTTGAATCTGCCGCCGCAGCGCAGGACTGGCTTAAGTTTGGGCCACTTGCTAAGCGATTATATTACATCAGAGGATCTGAGCGATGTAAAATGCGATTCTTGTAATGAAACGACCACGCACACCAAGTCGGTCACGTTCGCTAAACTGCCGGCGTGTCTATGCATCCATGTGGCGAGGACCGTGTGGCTGCCAACTGGTCAGGTGTGCAAGCGACAGGACTACGTACACTTCCCCGAAAGCCTTTCCATGGCACCATATAGCTTCGTTCAGCCGCATCTCAACAGTCAGGTGAGAGTTTATCAAATGTAGTTAACAATCAAGGTTTCGACTTATAATTTAGTCAGAGAAACATAGTTTATTACTAACTTATTTTGTGCTATTTAAAATTGATGAAACTTAAGTTAATTGGATTCAATTGTTCATATTTTTATACCATAGATCCATTTATCCTCCAGAAAGACATTCGCTGTCCTTTTCTAATTTGTGTTAATGGTATTTTGAAAGGTTTTTAACTTAACACTAAACCAATCATATTCTTTATGCTTGCAGGCTGGCACTCCTTGGGGCTCGACGATGTCGCTGTATTCCTCCAGCCTGCCTATGAACAATGGTGTGGGTGGTGGCGAGGGATTCGGCACTATGTTCCCCAAGAACTTGTACCGCCTGCTGGCCGTGGTGGTGCACTCTGGAGAGGCGAACAGCGGTCACTTTGTCACCTACAGACGGGGTTCTTTGCGGAATGCACATAGGTATGATGTCCATTAGTATATAACCATGTAATCAGAATAGTAATCCTAATCTATCAACGCTTTCAGGTGGTTCTACACATCCGACACGATTGTACGGGAGGTTAGCATTGATGAGGTACTAAGCGTGCCCGCATATCTGCTCTTCTACGATCGTGGACAGCAAAGACAGCTTAACATGCGCTAGTCAACCGAAGATCATTGGAATCAACATCCTAGTCAGCACTTGATGTGATGGAAATCCAAATCATTTTTATCGAACAGTGGCCATAGCGAACTCGCGTCACATTTATATAGATATATATATATATATATATAACTTACATATATATATACGGGAACCCCCGATCTGATCTATACTCGGTGGGTTTATGTAATGGTCTCTGCATAATGCATATTCTATATATTGCATATAGCATATAGCATCACCCCCAAGTCACAGAGAACCTCGACTCTTCATTTGTTATTTGATGCATTTAAGATTTTTTAAGAATTCCAAATTCGTACCGTGCTTTTAGCTGTCTGTATTTAGCAATATACACACATAAACTACCACTAATTGTTTGCGCGTTATTTCTGTAGGATAGATGTTCAATAAAAATTTGGAAACTACTTTATATTCTAACTTAAATGGACTCAAGTGTGTTAAACTTATACTTTAGAGATTAAGATTGGAAAACTATTAAATATAGGGGGAACTTGCAATGTTTCCATTGAAATTGCTTCAAATTAGCAGGACTTACTAATTTTCAAAATAAAATGTTTTATTTAAATAACGTATTAATTATTTAATTTAGTATCTATTAATTACTTATGTTTAGCATTGAAAAAAATGAAGTTAGTACGAAACGCTGGAAGATAATATGTAAAATCCGTTTTTTTTTTTAATGCACACATTTTATTTAAGAGCTAATAATTATTTTTGTTGAATTATAAATATATATAAAATGTAGAAATGGAAAATTTAGAATTGAGAATGTAAATTTACATCTTGTTTTTACAAATAGAGAGGATATTTCTTTGAAGAAAAATCTGGAACGTACATTTTGAGCAGCGCGAAATATATCGATACCCTCTATCGATAATAGACGCCAATTGTCATTAGGCGTTTGATTGACAACCAGCAACGCGCAGAATTTCGTTCTTCAAGAAAAACTATAAACACGGAGTTTGACGAATTTTTCTTTTTCAATAATGTCTGATGCCGAGCTGGAACAGACGCCCAGCGCGGAGCACGTGTTGGAGCAGCCGGCTGAGGGGGAGCAAGAGCAGGAACAGGAGCAAGCCGAAGTGTATACAATGGGCGGCCCGCCGAGGACGCCGGTCGAAGATGCCGCTGCTGAATTGAGCGCCAGTTTGGATGTAAGTGGTTCGGATCAATCGGCCGAGCAGTCGCTGGATCTCAGTGGTGTCCAAGCGGAGGCGGTTGTAGAGTCCGAGTCGCCAACGAAGCGCCAGCAACGCGACATAAGTCCCATTTCAGAGGACAGCACACCAACGAGCAGCACTTCGACCAGTTCCACCAGTACATCCAGTTCCTCGCGTTACGACGACATTAGCGAGGCCGAGGAGCAGCCACCAGAACCTATGGAACAGTCACAACAGCAAGAAGAAGAAGGTCAGGAGCAGCAGGTAAAGATGCACGTACAGGTTCAGGATCAGGTGCACCAGCGTGAGGAGCAAATGGAGGTGGACCAGGATATTGACACTGAGGATGAGCCCTCCTCTAATACAGTCATCTGCGTGGCCGACATCAATACCTATGGCGGTGCCTCTAATATTAAAGACTATGTTATGGATCCTGATGCACCAGCTAAGGCTATTATAACCGAGGTGGTCACCATTCCGGCTCCTCTTCGTCTCAAGGGCGGATCTCTGCCTGATCCATTGCCGCCACCTCCTCCTGCTGAGGATGAAGTCCCCGAGACACCCGCCTCACCCACCGATGATGGTGAGGAACCACCCACCGTTGGTTTGTCATCTTATATGCGAGTTCGTTACATGCAGGAGGTCAGTCACCCTGGCCTGCCCACTCGCCTAGCGCCACGTGATCCGCGGCAACGCAATATGCCACCGCCGGCCGTGGTTTTGCCCAGTCAAACCGTACTCAGTGCCAATGTGGAGGCCATTTCTGATGACAGCAGCGAAACTACCAGCAGCGAGGAAGACGAAGAGGAGGAGGATGAAGACGATGAGATAACCTTGGAGCACGACAGCACTTCCAGGGAGACAGTGATAACAACTGCCGGTGATCCAATGATGCAGAAAATTGATATTAATGAGAATCCTGAAAAGATCTATTACATTCGACGCGATGATGGCACCGTGCATGCCGGCCAGGTTCTGCAATCCCGTACAACTGAAAATGCTGCCGCTCCTGACGAGTATTACGTCCACTATGTTGGCCTGAATCGCCGCCTGGATGGCTGGGTGGGCAGACACCGAATCTCTGACAATGCTGACGATTTGGGTGGCATAACTGTGCCGCCGGCACCACCAATGGCTCCCGATCAGCCCAGTACCAGCAGGGAAATGCTGGCCCAACAGGCCGCAGCTGCGGCAGCTGCCTCGTCCGCGGAGCGTCAAAAGCGGAGTGGCAATAAGGACTATTATCTGTCCTACTGCGAAAACAATCGGTACGACTATAGCGACCGCAAGATGACACGTTACCAGAAGCGGCGTTATGATGAGATCAACCATGTGCAGAAGAGCCATGCCGAGTTGACCGCATCGCAGGCGGCACTTGAGAAGGAGCACGAGTCCATTACCAAGATCAAGTACATTGATAAGTTGCAGTTTGGAAACTACGAGATCGACACCTGGTACTTCAGTCCGTTTCCCGATGAATACGGCAAAGCACGCATCCTTTATGTATGCGAATATTGCCTGAAGTATATGCGTTTAAGGGACAGCTACGCCTATCATCTATACGATTGCAAACGCAGGCGGCCACCCGGAAGGGAGATCTACCGTAAGGGTAACATATCTATCTATGAAGTAAATGGCAAGGAGGAGTCACTGTACTGCCAGCTGCTTTGCCTGATGGCTAAGCTCTTCCTGGACCACAAGGTCTTGTACTTCGACATGGATCCATTCCTCTTTTACATCCTTTGCGAGACTGACAAGGAGGGTAGCCACATTGTAGGCTATTTCTCCAAAGAGAAGAAGTCCCTGGACAACAACAATGTGGCGTGCATTCTCGTCTTGCCGCCACATCAGCGCAAGGGATTTGGTAAGCTGTTGATCGCCTTTAGCTATGAGCTATCTCGCAAGGAGGGTGTCATTGGGAGTCCGGAGAAGCCGTTGTCGGATCTGGGCAGACTGAGTTACCGCAGCTATTGGGCGTACACACTACTGGATATGATGAAAAACCGTTGCGCACCGGAGCAGGTATCAATAAAGGAGCTCAGCGAAATGAGTGGCATCACTCATGACGACATCATCTACACGCTGCAGTCCATGAAGATGATCAAATACTGGAAAGGCCAGAATGTAATCTGTGTGACTGCCAAGACTATTCACGATCATCTCCAGCTCCCGCAGTTCAAGCAGCCCAAGCTGACTATCGACACTGATTATCTCGTCTGGAATCCGCACAGTACGGCGGCAGCTGTGGCTAGAGTTCCAGGCAATTCCGGCTAGCATACGGTGCCACCGGACCCCGTCCAGCAGTCGTCCCAAATTATTGTTATAGAAGATGACGATGACTAAGACATATATTTTCTTTTTTTTTTATAACTTTTAAGGAGTCGTAGGCGAAGGCTGTTGAACCCCACCAAATGTATAAATTGGTGGATGTGATGTTTTACCAGAAAAACAGAATTTTTGGTACAGAGTCATATATGTAAAACCGAATCATTGAAGATTTAAAAAACAATAAGAAATGTAATACTTAACATTTTTTTTAATCTTATGGATAGCCTGTTGTAAATCGTATTGTTTAAATCAAACGTGTTCGCCTTGATTTAAGTTATAGTTTTTTGAAGAGATTTGAAAAATGGTTGTGTTCCATTCACATAGTTATTTAAAAACTTATCTGGGTTGTTTTTTACCTTGTACGAATTGTAATTAAAACTTAAATTTTTCCTCTTTCAGAAAGCTATAGACTTGTTGCGAAGCTATAGGGTATAAAATAATTCCAAAATATTAGCAACACGGATTTTTTGTTTTACTTTCTGTCTTCAATAAGTGATTCGTTATATTAACGTCATTGTAAGAACCAGAAGAAAGAATAAATATTAATGAGAATAACAGGCATTTCATTATATTTTGGAGGTATTTTCGGTAGCATTTCTTCTTTAATTTGAAATAGAAAAAAAATGTAAGTAAACGAAGCCTAAAATGTTCCCTGAAACTGCTTTAGTTGTGTAAAATAAGAATTTCTATACAATAAATATTTTTTAACATATTAAAAAGGGAACTACACATATATATACTTTGGCAACTACATATATTCCAAATTATATATTAAGTTGAAAGCTCTAAAGACTATCGCCAACTTTCTCATCTCTAGCGACCGTCTGTTATCGATAGCGCCCGCATCGATACACCTTTATTCCGCCGGGCGACAAATCCGATTTGTGTTATTGTGATTGGAAATATATATACAGGATATAGCTTAGCCGGGATCAAAAATGGGGCTTCTGTCCGATCCGTCGATATCGACGCAGAGCAAGCTGGTGGATGGATTGGCCCGACATGTCCGCAAAGTGTGCTACGCCCTTTATGTGGCGGGTGTGGCCTGGTTCTTCTGTTTGGCACTGCCGGAGTTCAATCATGGAACATATCTCTCTGAGAATGCCCTGTCCCCAGGTAAGACAGAAGCACTGCTAACCGAAGACCCCCTAACAAAGAGTATACTTCACGCACAGGTCTAGTCTATCCGGAAATCCGCGTTGATGCCAATCGCTTGGCCATTCAACTGCTAGAGGAGCTGCAGCGGGAGCGCAAGGACCATCTGTCCACCACGCCGCACGCCTGGATAGCGGCCAAAATGAACGAGTTCGGGCTTGAGACACACACCCACAACTATACCCTGCGCTATCCCTTTGGCGGCGGCAAGGAATATCACGGTAAGAATATCTACGGCATATTGAGAGCTCCGAGGATTGCTTCCACGGAGGGCATCGTTTTCGCTGCCCCTTACCGAGCGGCTAGCTCTGTGCATTCGGACATCTCTGCTAGCGTGCCGGTTCTTTTGGCTTTTGCGGATTTCGCTAGGCGCAAGAACTACTGGGCCAAAGATCTGATCTTCTTGGTTACCGAGCAGGAGCAGCTGGGCATGCAGGCTTGGCTGGAGGCATATCACGATGGTGATCGGGATTTGGATGTGAGCAAGGCGTATCTACGTCCCGGGAATTTACCCGCTCGAGCAGGTTCGCTACAGGCGGCTCTAAATATTGAAGTTCAGGATCTGGAAATCGACCATGTAGATGTGCGTATTGAGGGCTTGAATGGCAAGCTACCAAATTTGGATATGTTTAATCTGGTCCAGAGGATTATGGCTCGTGAGGGCATCGCCTCTGGTTACAAGCAATCACCTCGCAAGAAGCGTCGCCATAGTCAGTCCGCCTTCGAGCAAAATCTTCGCCAAATGCTGACCATGCTGGCCAGCCAGTCGTCGGGCGTGCCCAATGGTAATCATGGTCTATTCCATCGCTATCGCATCGATGCCCTAACTATAGCTGCTAATCGAAGGGCTACACATGCCACGCTGAAGGGCAGTCCAGGATCGGCAGCAGTGCCCTTGCTGAAAGCTATCGAAGGAATATCCAGGAGTCTGAACAACCTTTTGGAGCGATTCCATCAGAGCTTCTTCTTTTATGTGATCGTGAACAATGATCGGTATATCTCTATCGGAGATTATATGCCTGCTTTGGTGGCCCTGGTGGCTTGTGCCTTTGTCAAGGCTTATCTAACGTGGTCCACATTGCCGGCGACGAATTCTGAACTGGAAACGGCAGCTGGTTTGGTCAGGGAGCAGGGGCAGGAGACAGAATTAGAGGAGGACCCTGATCCGGATAAATTCGAACTGCCATATGGATCCGTGTTGATCTACCTTACCGCCACCCTGTTGATAGGATTCCTGTGTAATGTGCTGCCTCTGCAGCAATATTTCCTAGAGATTCCGATGGGCGCCGCACCACTTACCACCTCAGTACTAAGTTTTCTATCGCTCATTGGATTCATTCTGCCCTTTGTGGTGGTTCTGCCTCCTGGAGGCTTGGAGCTGCTGCACGTGGCCTTTCTGCTGATCTATGGCTGTGCTTTGATCGTCATCGGATTGCTAAACTTTGCCCTGGGATTCTTTGCGGCCGTACTAACTGTGCCGTTGGTCGTTTCGCTGGAAACCAAAGAGGAGAACTCCCGCAGCACGTTGAGAAACACGATTCGTTTGGCCACGCTGGTCATGAATCCTATGATGGTCATCTATGTTATCGTGCTGGCCATGACATTCTACCAGTTTCCTGAGCTGCCGCTGCAGAAGATCATGCTAAGGGCGGCCACCGCGGCCATGGATGCCTCTGCTTACGGGCTTATCGATTCCGTGGTGAGTAAATAAGATTTATTAATAGTCATTTGACTTAAATTAACTTTAGATATTATATGTATAACATAACTTTGTTTCTACCTCTTACAGATCTATGGCAACTGGCTGTACTTTGTCATCTGTACGGTCTTCCTGCCTTTGTGGATCATCTGCTGGACATTGGCATTGTCTAAGCGACGAGACTACGCAGATTACCTGGACTTCGATGAGTCGCCATCAACGTCACCGCAGCCGAAGGTGAAAATGAATTAAGGAGAAGAACTACCCAGATTTCCATTCAAATGTTACTCAGTGTTTGATTGAATGTCTACATATATCAACTGGAAATAATCCTAAGATAAAGTGTGATAAACCCAACAAATGTGTGTAATGGAGGTAAGCGATTGCACATGCAGAGAAAAAATTCCATTTAAATGTTATGCATTTGTCTAAATAAATGAAGCCTATTTATTAGTTGGAAATTTTAACAAGATTTTTGTAATGTAAATTAAATTAAACTTCTATTGAAAGGTCGTTTTGGACACATTTTATAGCATATACTTTATATGATTTAACATTTTAAAATACTTGATTGCTTAATATCATCAAAAAAATCGCGTTGTATAGATTCTGCCTTCCTTTTGGCCACTTTGTTTGCACGTAAATCTGTAATGCGTATTTACCAGCCAAGAGTTATTATTTCCTTTGTCAATCGAGTGCCGTTGTTGTTGGCCGGTGGAGGACAGGAGTTTTTCCGTGGAATGGTGTTCAGTGGTGCACGTGCCTCTTTGAATAAGTGGAAAACTTTTCGACTATGACACGCAACTTAATTTAAACTTTGCACCGCTGCCAGCGTCGTCGTCGTCGTCTTCGGCGCTGGCAATTAGTTATGAGCCAGGATTTGACTCAATCAGGAGCATAGATGCATGGTGTCCTCGAAGCTGGAGAGTTTGGAACTGGTTACTGGTAACTGGAAGCCCTGCACTTGCCGCACTGTGTTTACCGGCGCCATTCAATCTGCAACTTAACAAGAAAACTTTCCTCACACACAGATTCAAAGGCAGACACAAAGTTGGCGTGGCACAGTGGTAGATGTTTATAAAAATATTTATGAATAATAATGATTAAATGAAGGATTAATAAAATAATGAAATACATTTTCTAGCATAGACTGCATAAATGTTTTATGCAAACAGTAAACTTTTTCAAAACTAGAAAAGTTATTTCTTAAACATTTTAAGTAAAGTTAAGATATCAAGATATTTTTATATTATTTGATATGTTTATTTATTTAAATTCTATCCTATTGGAAGGTTGAGCTTCTTCCTGGATGTTATTTTGGACATTTTTCTGGTTCTGGTAGTTATCACCTGATCCCAATTCATCTGATTTACATTCATCCATTGGCAAGTCAAAGTCGACCAATGCTGATATGACCTCACCCTGATACTGATAGATATCGGTTTGTGTGCCCTTGCCGTTGCCCTCGTCCCTACTTTGATCTTGATCCTGGTCATCTTCTTCGGATCCCATCTGTAATTGGCGTTCATCGAAGCGTCTCAGACTGCATAGACATCGTTGACGGACCTTCTTGACATGCTCACTTTCGAAATCTGCTTGAATGGCCTCGATAAGATATCTCATCGATCTGGTACCAAACTCCGACTCTATGTTGTGGGTCATTTCGATATCCCTTTGCAATTGACACTGCATTGCCACCTGACGTTGAAGATCCTTGGCATCGCAAATCAGTTGATCCAGTAATTCGTCCGTCTGGCTATACTGAATCAACAGATTATCGGACATCTCCAGGGCCAAGCAAAGTTCTCGGGCCTGTGGGCATCTAGGTGAGGGCGGTGGTGGTGGCGGTGGCACAGGCAGATTAGCAGTCAAACATTGGACGCCTCTTGGTGTCCGCGGGTGAGCCTCTGTCTTGACGAATCTGGAACCCCTGGACGTGGTTCGTACTATCTTACGTTTTGGATTTGGTTTTCCATCTCCCGACGTAGCGGAAGAAAGGCATGCGGAGTCAACTTTTAACTTAAAGCGCTCTGGCAAAGCCGTCTCCATTGATTCTTTATAAGAGGTATAACCGTCTGCACTGCTCAGATTGAGACGACGTGCTAGATACACCAAATTCGATAGGGATCGATTTAAAACCATCCTCGTGGCATTCACGTAGCCCACACCAGCAGTAGGTTCAGAGCTCATCGTAAAAGAGGTTTCGTCGAAAATTTTGGTTGAAAAAATATATTAGCTGTGTACGAGGAGTGTATCCCTCGGTTTTGTGTCTTTAATTCAAATATTTTTTGTATTTGATTTTAGATTTAGGAATTATGTGACCGAATTGTTGAGCAAACGTTGAGAGTGTGACATAGATTTGGGGCAGGGGGAAAGAAGTGCTGTCAGGTGGGGCAAGGCGTACTGGGTTTAAAAAACTATATCAAGCTGTTTTGGACTTAATTAAAATCATGAGTGGAATTATAATTTATAATCAGTTTATGTATTTAATTTTATTAAATTTTAATGTTTTGTACCCATTTAAGCCCACTGTGGTGCAACCCTGTCGCATTATCCTTTGGCGCTTACAAGCTGCGAGACTGCAGGATAAAAGATGCAGGACGAACGATGTCGGGGGGTTAAAATTGGCAAGTTGATGTCACATAATTGCCCCTCGAGCGCTCATCTTAATTATTGTGCTTGCTGACTTCCTGTTGGCCCGACTTAATTCCCCGTTAAAGCCAACACACTCTCTGCGGTTGGCACCGCCCCACTTCATCTACCACCACCATCCACCCCCCTTCCCTTATCCGTTATCCGAATCCCACGGCCGTTCATGGATTACTCCTTGCTGCGTGTGGAAATAATTAAAATTGTTCGAAGAACGAGAGGTGTTGCACATCCGCGAAAGGCATGGAAATAATGTGAAAGAAAGGAAGATTTACAGAGGAAGGGGAGGTATAATATGTATATTAATGTGTCAGTAAACCGAACTTCGATGCATCAACGGCAGTTTTATCCTGGAGACAAAAGGGGTAAACGATAAGGATATAGCCATTCATTGAATTGATTTATTGTTAATATAAAACGAATCAAAGATATCGACGGTTTAAGTTCATGTTATAGTTTCTTCTGACTTCTGAACTATTAAAAAAACGTGCCTTTGATAATATCAAATCTAGAACAATGGATCCATTTCTCTAAAGATATTTACATGGCGACTTAAATTTTAGTTTTTTCTTTTGATTGCTCAATGGGTTTTCCTGCCCGCTTCTTGTTGCTTCTGTTTTAATGAAAAGTGAAAAGTGGGGAAAACAAGTGCGGAATAGAGGAATACCAATCGAGAGCTTTCAATTTGTTCGACCATTGTTCTGGCTTTGTTTGCTTTGGATTCGGGGGCTCACTTCTGTTTTTTTCAGCCATGCTTTACTTTCGAAAAGAATTGAAACTTTGACAGTTATTTGTGTGTTTTGTCCGCCCCGTCGAAACAATGCAAAGCTGGAAGGAATCCCCCCCCCTCACACACACACACACTCTCTCTATACATATATAACTCCTATATATATGTATGCCCAACTGGGAGTCACGTTGCACTCCATTTTTTGGGAAATGCCAACGATGAGAACAAAAAATTGGGCAGGTGAAATGGAAAACAAACGCATAGAAAGGCGGGCACACAACAAACAATCGGAAGAATAAAAAGATGCACTTGGGGGACTAATGGGTAGTTCCTGGAAATATCTCTTTTAAATTTGATACCTTATAAAAAGATATTTTCATGTGTTTTATAATTCTTAAGTTATTCCTTTTGAAAGTATAGATTGATTTCCATCCATTTATGTTCCAAAGGGCTAGACTGCTTCAGTAATCTCCTTTTGTGTTTTTTTTAGTAGACTTTCCTTTCTTTGAAAGAAGAGTTCTTGATGTTTTCCCCCAGTGCAGATGCTGACAAAACGAAGGACGCGAATGCCGCAGAAGTGAACAAATAACGAAATAATATTGCATGCGAATAAAAATGCCGTCAAAACTGCCAATTTCTCTCAATTTGTAAAGTTTGTCGAATTTGGTATTTGTTTTTCTTTCTATTTTTTTTTTTTTTTTTTGCCCGCTGATATGTTTTGTGTGTGCGCAGATTTCCATGGCATTCGAAAGTTTTAAACTAGCTGGGGAATTTTCTTCTTCTTTATTTGTTTTTGTAGTCCTCCTCGGCTGCCTTGAAATTAAATTTCGGCTTGCTTTCACTTAGACTTGTTCAATACTTTGACGCTGCGCTTAATCAAAGTTTGCTCAGCGACAATAAAACTTGCGATTTTATTTACAAACAATCAGAGCCTACGACAAGGACGACCCCCTCCGATGGAAAAAAAAAAACGGAAAAACAAAGCCTCATTGGCAAAGAAAGCGGGAAAGGGCGGGGAAAGCAAAGAAAGGCGAAGGCGGAGGCCGTTGGATGAATGACAAACGAGAGTCGAGTAGGCAAACTAGAAATGAGTGGAGTGCATGAGGGAATTTGCCAAATTGAGCGAGTAGGGCCAGATACTACAGATGAGATATACAGTCGATACTCAATAAGAGGAACTTCATGATTTCTTTCTAGTTAACATACGGAAAATGTACAAAATATTAAGCATTCGCGTTTCCTAACAAAAATATTATAATTAGATCTGAAAGTCATCAATTTTAATGATATTTTACTGTACTTATCGATGTGTATGTATAGGTTGCATTGGTATGTATGGTACAAAGCAACAGCTACCAGCATGATGTTTTTTTATTGCGGGCAACTCTCGACGTGCTGCCACACACACAACCATACACACCTAAACACACACCAGCAGAGTGAAAAAGCGAAGAATATATAAAGTCCTGGTGAGTGTCTTTTCCTAGTCCTTAAATTCAGCCAGAATTCAATTCCTTTCCCTTTTGTCCCTCCTTGAGCAGTTGTTTAGCACATTAAGCCACTAAAACAACTAGCTGTTGGAGAAAGAGAGGCAGGGACCAGCGACGGAAAGAGAGGGGTAGAGTTTGGAGGCGAGGTGCCATAACATATCCCTCTTGTCTGCTCCGTGTTGTCAGCTGTTTTACTGCCAAGTTATGACGTGCCTCCGTCACAGGCTTAAGTACGTACAAAAAAAAAAAAAAAAAAAATAAGATAAAAATAAAATAAAATGAAAACAAGGAAGAAAAGAACTAATGCACGAAACGGCAGTCTTAATACCCTGCAAAATTGAATATTTAAACATCAAAAAGAAACCTTCCTAATTGAGAGTTTATATGAAACTTTAAATTTGAATATTTTAAGCCATGACTCTTCATTAATAGCTAACATTGAGTGTTACATTATATATAACCTTAACTTTATTGTCAAATATGAATACCTTTTGTGAGAGTATCAAAAAAGAAAAAGACAAGCAACAAAAAAGTCGAGCATGTTGCCCTGGCCAAAAGGTAGGAAAAGCCGGGGAAAAGGAAAACTTTTATGCGCTGCTGTCGCTGGCGAACACAACTTTTGCCTTTTATGTCCTTGTCGTCTTCTATCAGTGTATGTATATGTACAGACACACACACATATATATATATATATATATATATGTAGACTGGTACATCTGTGTGTGTGTGTGTGTGAGTGCTTATGGCGTTTTGTGTGACATTTATTGTCATTTAACTGTGACAAAGTTTGAGGATAAGCATACACGGCGCTATGAGGCATCTGTACAATGTCATCCTCTTGGATGGATTGATGGGCGTACCTTGGAGAAGGCGTGGCAGGTTGTGTCCCTAATTCAAAAGGCACAATATCACAGCAACTTTATTGCCAAAGTCTGAGAAAAGCAATTTCGAAATCACAAACAGGTAAACTTGATATATATTTTTGCATTTTGTGATCATTTTGTTAATCTTTTTCCCACAGTTTCTAATGTTACAAAATCTGGAATGAGAGAACATTCTGCCAGCGGGAAAGGCAGGCAGGCAAGTGCAGGCGAATGAAGTGGCACGGTATTAGCCAGGAGAAACCGCCGCGGAAAGGGCTGGCTGTGCATGATCATTCGCGTTGACAGAATATGAAGAAGGTAAGTTTGAACGAAAAAATATGTAATTTTACTAAGCTGTAAAGTATTAAGAAAAGAAAAATAATCTTTATTTGTAACACGTTTTAGTTTAACTTAAAGATAAATCTAAAGACTTAACTTTAGACTTCCTGAAAACGTGATTCAGCGAATATTTCCGCATTGCCGGATAAGGGCACCTTTGACCTGAGCTGTAACATCTCCTTGGCTTGCTTTATTTGCTTTATTGATGAGTCATCAGCAAAGAAACCGGACGGAAACGCACTTGATATGCTGCCCGGGTTATGGCCGGATTTTACGATCCGAGTGGGAAACGTTTTCGATTTACGCCAAAAAGGGGAAATGACAGCAAGCATGTGTTGAAGGGACATAAAAAGAAGAGCTGGGGAAATTGATTGATAATTGATAACGCAACAACACGCCATGACCCACAACAGTTCAAGTTGTGGAAAATATATATAGAAGTATCTGGCAAAGTTTGTCACAGAAGTAAGACATGATAGAGCTACACCTAATTAAATTATTAAGATACTTTATATTTCAGAGTTTACTACAAACAAATTGGACATTAATCTCTGGGGAAATTAACTATAAAGAATCAACGAATGTATTGGCTTAAACTTAGCCAGTTAAATATTTAGCATTGCGGTAAGCCAAAGCCAGTGGCGAATCCTTCGGATTGCGATATCTTTGCGTTCCTGAGAATGTCTGTGCCCTTTTTGCTGCCCTGTGAATTGATTTCGGGCCGAGATGAAACCGGAGGAGGCTGTCCTGATTTCGGACTCGTTCTCTGGCAATTTATGTTGGCAGAGTCCGTCGTCCAGATGTTTGGCCGCATATGCAGATTAAGTTGGAAGCAGGATCATGTTGCCCAGGACGAAGGATGGCGTGGGACTCCTGGACACCAACTCCACGGCTCCATGGAACACACAAACAGATGCCAGACAAAGATGAAGGAGACAGAGATATAGAGAGAGAGAGTCGGAGACGAAGACGGAAATGGGGCAAACTAAACTGTTGTTGGCTTGTTAGGCAGATGGTAGACATATCCCCAGCCGGATGTGCGCCAAGGATATGCTTACAAGGCAAACAAATTTACCCATAATGCTGTCAGATGCATATCGGACTACCCCGGGACTCCCAGCCATCCATTATTTGTATACCCTTACACTCTCACTGTTTTATCCTCGCATTATGTGCCCACTTAGACTTAGACGGAAGGGTATTATTTGCCAGGAATGCCAGGGAATGCAACTGGGCCTAAGCCCAGACCGGCTGCCTTGTCTTCCTCTTGTTAGCCTGAAAAATTTGTTGATTTTACTGCTGCTGCCAAGACAGGACACCGGTTTCAGATTCAACTGAAGTTCCATCGCCTGCTGCTGCTGCAGCACTGCGAGAAATAAAGTGTGTAGTTAGTATAGGAATTTTTTCGTTCAAATCTTCATAAAACAGTCAAAAATCAATTTATTTCAAAGGGAAAGGCATTTTTGTAATGGTTTTTAAGCCCTTTCAACTTTGTTTTATCAACTTTTTAAGATTTCCCAAA